GGGAAGGGCCACGAGGTTGCCTGGGCTCCAAAGCCACCCAAAAATAGAGCCAGGTAGGGCTGGGAAGGTGCGTGACGAGATTTGTCACGGCAGCTGAGCTTCTCCGTGCCTGGGACGAGTCGAAAAGTGATTTATTTCTTGTAGGAGGGATGCAGGAGGTGCATTACCTTCGGCTGCCTCGTCTCTCMTGTGCGAAATGCCAGGTGCCTGGGGAAGGTGACCGTGCGGATCTTGTCCCCGTCCCCTCCGGCGGCCGCCCCGTCCCAGCTGCGCGGCGCGAACGGGAGAAGCCGCGGGAAGCGAGGGAAGACACTTCCTCCAGCGGCGGATCTGAGGTCACCTCCTGGCCCTTGATCCCTCCAGCCCGGGGTATTTGGGTCAGCGGGGAAGCACAGCTGAGAGCGACGTCCCTTCCTCCCCTCTCCCTGGAGATTCGGGTTTTAAAGGAACAAATGGGTTTGGCTTCAAGCGCTGCAGTCTGATTTTTTAAATGATGTTTTTTGGAACAATGAGCTAAATACCGGAGGGGTTTGGGGCTGCGTCTCAGAGTGGTGAGATTTTCTTCCTTTCTCACCTTCCTGCTCCCACCTTGCTCTCAGAAACTGTTTTCTGGTCAGGAAAATGCCAGCAATGGGGGAGCTTGTCATCCTGGGGAATGATGCTGCTGGAAAGAGAAATGGTCTGGTATCCAGGGGGGACCCACCTGGACTGACCCTCAGGGTCCTGCGCACCACGAACACACAGACATGGTGCTCACAGCGCCCAGGACCCCACAGCATCACCAACCTCACTATGGGGGAGTGACCCCCTGACCCCCCCGTGCCTGTCCTCCTCTGCCACAGGGTCCCCAGGATCACCTTCTCGCAGGAGGAGGAGAAGGTGACCAAAGCACTCCAAGTCCCTTCTCCACTGTGGGCACAGCTTGGTGCTGGTGGGTAAATGGGCTGGTGGGCTGGTGGGCCACCTCCCTGTTTCACTCTGTCCTGAACCCAGGGTRAGCAGTGTTGGGAAGGATGGACCATCCTGGCCATGCTGTTGCAACAGCTGGAAGCATCCARGGCCAGCTTGGACAGGGCTTGGAGCAACCTGGTGTGGTGGAAGGTGTCCCTGCCCATGGCAGGSGGTGGCACTGGGTGATCTTCAAGRTCCCCTCCAAYCCCAACYGTCCTGATTCTGTRATCTCCTGCACCASTGAATYRCTGTTCCCCTTGGAGATYTTCAGCCCCTCTATTCCCTGTCYATGCTGARGGCCACATTGCCTTGGATCAGCCATGGGCCACCAGCCAGGCTGCCTCTGTCAGGTCAGGTGGGAAGGAGCGATCTGGGGAGCTTTAGCTGGAGCTTTCCCTTCTGTCTGAGACCTGCTGGGGGAATGTTCTCCTTGGTCAACCCCTCTGCTCCAGCAAAGCAGTGCCAGCCCCACACTGGGCTCTTCCCACACCCCAGAGCACCYCCAGGATCAGCAGGAATGTCCCATCAGCTCTGCAGGTGGCTTGGGCTGGTGTCCCCCAGCCCCCTGGAGCAGGGTGTGTGCCCTGGGGGGGCTCGGGCTCCCCAGCTGCTGCTTCAATCCCTTCAGGAGGAGCTGTGGTGGGATGGACAGGTCTGGTGTAGAGAAGGGACAACACACCTTGTGTCCCCTCTGGTATCACCAACCCGCAAATCAGAAGTCATTTGTATTTCCCTCCACCAAAAGCAGAGTGCTTTCAATGTTTTTGGTTTTTTGTTTCTTCTTGGRTTTTTTTAGGCTAAAAATGTGCTTTCTGAAACTATTTGTGTTTCTGTCAAGACATCCCTTGAAGAAAGGATCACCTGGCTGTCACCAGCCAGACCCTCCCATGGCATCCAGCTCCAAACCCAGCCCCTTCAGCGGGTGCTCCCAGGAGCTGGTTGGGCTCATAGCACCCTAAAACATAATCAAGTCTTAACCCGATTCCTGTCGAAGTTCTGGCAGCTTCTGAGCTCYTTCCAGCCTCATCCTCAGCTGGATTTGCTCCATCAATTCTTTCAGGACCTGCTTGATAAGCCTCCTGTGGGGGCTTGTCTGTGTGTTTCCATATCTCACCCAGCTTATCAGCCACAGAGGGTGGAAGGTGTGGCCAGGCTGGGAATTAACCATTTCATCCAAATCCCGTGGAAAGCAGAAGCAAAAAATCCCCCACTTTTATTCTCCCGTGGGTTTTACCTCAAGCAGTAACTCCTCCAGCATTGGAGAAGCTGTAGGAGGGAAGGTGCTCAGAGATTTCCATTTGGAAGAACAGCTGCCTCTGCCCTTCACAAAGTCCAGGAGAACCTTCAATACCACAGGTTGCCAAAAATAAACCCTTCATTCCCTGGAGTGGATCCAAGCACTCTGCCCAAAGGGATGGGTTTGGATCCGGGCTTCACCTGAGCTCCATTTCTTTTCCAACCCGTGCTTTTCTGCCATGACTTCCCTCCATCCTCACCCAACCTGGAGATCACTGGGGATAAACCAGGGGGAGAATGGTGTCCCTCTCTCTCCAGGGGTGTTTTGGTGTGAATCACGCCAGGATTGAGGCAGTTTTCTCCTGCCCCCAGATTTTGTCGAGGTTTCCTTCCAGCATTGGAGCTCGCCCAGCCCTCCYGGCTTCCCGGGGCTTCGCTGAGAAGCGCTGGGAAGACAAAACCCCGCTCTGGAAGTGAGGCTATTGTTCTTACTAATTTTAACTGGATGTTCTTCCCCAAGCCTATTTTTATTCATTGCTTGTGGTAAGCCCTTTCTCTAAGGTAGAGCAATTTGCCACAGGACTCCTTTTTTTTTGTTTTTTTTTTTGGTGTGTTTACCAATTTTAATTGAGTGATATCTCCCTTCTGCAAACCCAGAGCTGGAGGAGGTTTTAAGCGCCCGTTGCTGAGCCTCCTGCCCCGGGTTTGCTTTGATCTCTGCAGGTGAGTGTGCATTTTTGGGGCCAGAGATTGATCCTGCCTATTTGCATGCAAATCCCCAGGTTATTAAGATCAGAATCTGGCCCTTTAAATTTAATACTTCACTTTATGCTTTTATTTCCGCGTTTCTTACAGTAATTTCCAAAAATAACAAACTTCAAACATGACGGGGCCATCTAACRTTTTACTGCCTTGGCTGGAGTAGAAGGAACATTTCTGGAAGTATATTATCCAATTTAACGAGCCTTTCCCATCTTGGCGAGGCTCCCACCCCTCACCCCCTCTCGGAGTTGTTTTGGACGGCTCCTTGGAGCYGTGCCACCTAATCCTATTAGAAGGACTTTCGTTACACTGTGCCTTGTGTTTATAAYCGAGAAAATCAGCTGGAGAGGGGGGTCCTGTCCCTCTCCCTCTGCCTCTCCCTCCTTTTCCCTTGGATTTGAGACGAGAGSCCAGCCAGTCCCACGAGGTTCCCTTGCTTTTCATTTCATTGCTCCTCTCTGCATTTATTGAGGAAGATTTTGAAGTAAATTGGGTCCTTGTGAACTTGTAATTAATTTGGAAGGGTCAGCTCTTCCCAGCCTGGGGAGGGCTTCTTTGTGTGGTCCTTTTGTGAAAGGCAGAGGTTGGAGAGGCCATTCTATAGCAGGGATTTGCTTTTAATAGGGACCTGGCTATTTTTTGAAGATCTCACGGCTCTGGAAGGACCATGAGGATGTTTTTGTGCAGGGCTGTGATGAAAAGGTTTGCAGAGCCCTTGGCTTGGATGCAAAAAAAAACCCAATCCTGAAAGAGGTATAAAAAGGTAAAAGGACCCCAGTCCTGGGGCTGTTCTTGGCAGCTCASAGCTGGCACCTGGAGCTGGGAGATGCTCCAGGACATCCCCCCATTTGAGTGCCAGGGAGGGCTGGGGGCCCCTTGTCCCTCTGTCCATCCTGCCCTGCCCCACACACCACCCAGGGRACCTCTTGCTTCTCCTCAGAGCTGGTAGAATTGAAATTCTTTTCCTCACCACATTGCTTTTCTTGAAATCCTGCCTTTCCTCCCCAAAATAGTCACACAAAMCATTAAAAGGAAAAGGTGGAGGGCAGGAATAAGACAGTGGATGAGAGGAAATAGCCTCAAGTTGTGCCAGGAGAGGTTAGGTTGGATATTAGGAAAAAAKTCTTCACTAAAAGGGTGGTCAAGCACTGGCACAGGCTGCCCAGGGCAGCAATAGAATCGTTGTCCCTGGAGGGAATTAAAAACTGTGTGGATGTGGCAYTTGGGAACATGGGTTAGAGCTGGGCTTGGCTGCGCTGGGGGAATGGTTGGACTTGAGGATCATAAAAGGCTTTTCTAACCTTGATGATTCTATGATGGGCTGAAAAAATCTGTGAATAATTAAAGTTTCTGGAAAAAGAGACACACAGACARACTGGTTTTCTCCAGAGTGGGCTGGGAGGAGACAGGGCATGATGGTCCCACTTGGGCACTGCCTGGCAGCGCCAGGGGTGGAATTTAACCTGTCTCCATCACGTGTCTCCATCAGCTCAGCTGCAACAAGGAATCCCCATTGAATGTGGGGAGAGGGGAACATGAGCAGTGCTGACTTTGGGGAGTGAGAGAGGGATGGAGGAGTGTGGCCCTGGGAATGCAGGGCTGGAGCTCCCAACAGGARACTCTTCCTAGCCAAAKCTGGGGAGCAAAGGGYCTGGAGGGGCTCARGGGGCTTYTGGCTGTGGAATTCCTGATGGAAGGGGTGTCAGTGGCACATCATCGTGTGCACTGCAAAGGTCATTGAGATAGTGTTGGAACTCAGTGCCTCCCCTGGGACACACGAGCCTGGCAGAGAGGRACAAGGACAACCTGTCCATACTCCATCCCTGTGCCCCATCTGTGGTGCCACCAGGCACACAAGTGGTCTCTGTGTCATTTGTGAGCTGCACTGTTAATTAAGAGCAGTTAACACTAGTAATTAACAGTGTGATAGTACAGTAATTAACAGTCCCTGCCAATACACCTTCAAAGYTGGAGTCACTCCCTGGCCGTCCCCTCCCAGCCCCTGTCTGATGTCCCACCCTGACCATCGCCTGTCTTCTCTCTCTCCCCAGCATGGGTCGGCTCCCTGGCCATGGGAATGATTTTTTTCTGCTCTCCCATCGTCAGCATCTTCACGGACCGGATTGGCTGCAGGACCACGGCGGCCTCSGGAGCTGCCATCGCCTTCATCGGGCTCCTCTCCAGCTCCTTCACCAAGTAAGGCTRTGCAGGGGACACCCAGCTCCTTGGAGAGCTCCTCTTCCTCCCTGTTCCCTGCAAACCCCCTCTGCACACATTGCTGCTGCTTTTGGGGGCAAAACAGAGGGTTCCCATCCAGAGGAGAGGTGTGCTGGCATCCCTACAGCTCATGTGTGCTCGGCCTGTTCCCCTCCAAATTGAACCTTTTGTCCTGCAGATCAAAAGAGAGCAAATTTCTCTCCAGCAAGGGACTATTCTCTAGGATTTCAGTGCTCAGGTCCCTCATTTGATCTTTMTCAGCAGGAGAGGTCAGTGTGCCCCTCAAGGCGGCTCCAGAGAGGCCCTCCCCGAGAAAACCCTTCTCCTTTGCAACCCTKTTCACATTTGGTGTTGAAAGTAAATTAATGCTTAAAATAATATTTGGTGGATTGTGCCTAAGAGGGAGTTTGTGTGCAGGGCAGACAGGGAGGGGAAGGCAGACRGGGTTTGGAGCAGTTTGTGGTGTTCCTGCCCTGGCCACTGCTGCTCCTTGTTTTCCATTCCTGAGCCCATGCCATGGATTTCTGCTGGCAGGCACTGGCTGGTGTGCRTTTGGATGGCAGGTGTTCCTCGGGTGTCTTTCCAGCCCAGAAATTGGGGTTGGCATCACTGAGGGAGCAAAAAGAGGTCACCTCTGGGGTAATTTATGTGACACTCATTAAATACAGTCTCAGAGGCTCCATGGAGACACCTCCAAAGCAGCATTTGCCCTGCTTCTCCTCAACAAAAACATTGCTTTGGTTTGGATTTCAGTTAAAATCAATATTGTTTTAATTAAAATGCTTCAAGGAGTGGGTTTTTAAAGCAAATACACACCAGTTTTCCAGAGGGCTACTTGCCTGCACTGTGCTCCTCCTGGTCAGTGAGACCCCAGTGCTTGTCCCAACCCCGCTTCCCTGGATCCCTGAGCCCTCATCTATGGGATCCCCCCATTGTGCTGGGAGTGAGGATCAGTTCTGAGTGTCCTGGCAAAACCCCCATGACTGGAGCTGATGGCAGATGGGATTTTTGGGATGCTAAAACCCATCTTGGGCAGCAGCGTGGAAGGAACCACCCTCTGCAGCTTCCTCCTCAGGTGCCACCCTTTGTGTTTCCAAAGAAAACAGTAAAAGGTGCAGTGGGTCCTGAGGGAAGCTTCCCATGCAATCCTGCTTTCCTTCTAATCAACAGAGCTTGGACATTTTCCCCCTCTATTGTAAAATGTTTGTGCACAGAAAAAGGGCTCGAGGGACCACACCGCTGCCAGGGGCTCGTTGTGTTGGGCTTCCAAAAAAAAAAAAAAAATCAAACAGCGCAGGCAGAGAGGAATATMATTTCCAGGAGAGCTCCAGAACTGAAATCCCCATTTCCTGCCTCTCACTCTTGGAACACATTCCTTAGGATGCCTTTTAAGGGAGAAAGGAGCCCCTCTGCAGCTGGACCGCAGTGAGGGAAGCGGTGGTGGCGGAGCTGAGCGGGGCTGGAGGAAGAGCAGGGAGGCTGTGGGATTTGGCAGCGCTCCATCCGCATGGTGAAGGCTGCTCCTGAGATTCGGGGCTGTGYCTCCTGCTCTCCCAGAACAATGGGGAAGGGTTTTGTTGGTCACTCTTGCCAGGTCTCCCCACTGTACCTGGAGATTGTCCCCCTGTGCTACAAGTGCTAGTGTAAGGGACACAGCCTGGTTTGGTGGGCTCAGGCAGAGCTGGATCAGGGCTCATCCCCCCTTGATCTTCTGGGTTCTCTAAAATGGGTTTGTTTTGTCCAAACAGARGAGCAGCAGTTCCCAGCAGTGAGCTGCTCCCAAAACCCTCTGAGCCACCGAGCCTGTGTGGTGAGACCCCAGAACCCAGTTCAATGCCTTCTACTCTCCAAATAATGGGGATTTTGTATGAAAACYACTAAAGAAACCAAATATGCTGGAAAGCAAAGCTCTGGGAGARGCTGGATGGGGTCAAGGTGAAACCTTCCCTCTCTGCTGCCCTGCTYGGGGTGTCTCCTGCACTCAAAACGAGCTCAAGCCACCACAGACCTCATGTGCTCCCACGGAAACAGAAATCCCAGTTCAGGTTCAGCCTCTCTCCATTTTGAAGGGGTTGGTTTWGCATGAGGAATGGGAGATGATGGCCAGCTCAGCAGGGCTGCAGCTCCCAATGCCCCCCCAGCCCTCTTCCTCTGCACTAAATGTTCTGTAGGGAGGGTTGAATCCCTTTCCATGTGCTTGTCCTTCCCCTCCACAATTCCTGCCCGGCTGCTCCTGCACAGAGGAATCCCCCAAACTTCTGCCAGCAAGGACAGCAACCAGAGCTGTTCCCACTGAGAGCTGGGAGCAAGAGAAAGCCAATGGAGGGAGAGCTCCTTGACCCAGGAGACACAATTAACCATTGGCAACCTCCTAATCCGAGGAGCTGATGTCGCCCTTCCCACCGGGGAGCAGCTGGCTGATTCCCAGTGAGCAGCCTGGGAAATCCTGGCTGAGCAGCAGGGCTGAAAGGAGCCCCTGTGCATGCAGGGGTGTCTGAGCATCGCCAGGGAGCAGATGGAGCTGTGGCATTTGTCTCCACTTATCCGGCACGTCAGCTTAGCTGCGGCACCGGGGCGGTGTGACCGGCCCAGGGCTGGTGTGTGGGAGGTGGGACCGGGCCCACATGGCCCAACTGCTCGCCTGGCTCCCACGGAGGGGGCTTCTGATGTGGTTTCATTCTGGAGTTGGTGGAAATTGCCTTTCAGGACAGCGATTTGTCTCAGAGCCRTCGGGCACGGCGAGCGTGCTCCGCTCTCCGCTTGGCAGGCGGGAGAGAGCAGCGTGTAATGGAAGGAATGATGTGCTCGTAAAGGTTTTCCCAACTTCCAGCTGCTCCCTTAGATGTGGGCTGCTGTCTCCTCACTCGTTTTGGGAACAGCACTAGGGGTTGGAGCACAGACCCTGCTGGTGCAACGCCCCGAGCTGCCCCGAGGTTTCCCTCACACCTCCCTCCCATGGCAGCCCTCTGCAGCTGGATGCATTGCACGGGGATGGGACAAAAAAAATCCTTCTTCTGGAGGCAAACACAACAGGTTGTTTGTGYTGCCTAAATCCAGGCTCCTTTGTCAGCTGCTTCTGTTGGGAGATTTGGGAAGGGGCTCCTTCCAAGGGCTCTCAGGACTCTCCATCTGCTCTGTAAAGCAGCCACTTCACCCCCTSCTCGAGTGCAGCCACCAATGTAAGGTACAAATGAGATCTATTAACTGTCTAATTTAAGSTCCCAGAGGAGCTTAAAGAAGAAGAACTTAATTAACCAGCCTGGAGTCTGGGCAGAAGCACCACATTTCCTTCTTATGTGCCTAATAACCAGCAGGGTTGGTGCCTTCTGCTTTCAAACACTGGGTGCAGAATGTTTTCAATTAGTCCTTTCAGTGGAAAAATAAAAAGGATTTCTAGCTAAAAWTATCCCTACCTTAGCAAATCTTGTTTGCTGTAATTTAAAAACCATTCAAGTTAGGTCAGCTTCCCAAGGAGGCCAGGTTGGCTGCTGCCTTCTCCTGGTTGCAGCAAGCACTTCCCAGCAATACTTCCATTTTCCCGAAGATTTAAGGTGCCAGCTGTAGAGTGAGGATTATCCTCACTTTGGCTGGGAATAAGCTCCTCCAGGTCAGACTGTCTGTGCAGCACCTGGGGCACGTGAGGCCTGCAGGGCTGTGGGGGAGGAGGCTCCCTCACTTCTGCCTGGCATCCCCACTTCCATCCCTGCTTCCATCCCCACTTCCACCCCCACTCCCACGTGTTTCATTCYCTCCAGGTCTCTGGAAGTTCGTTATTTCACGTACGGGATCCTCTTTGGCTGCGGCAGCTCCTTCGCTTTCCAGCCCTCGCTGGTCATCCTCGGCCATTACTTCAAGCGCCGCCTGGGTCTGGCCAACGGCATCGTGGCCGGGGGCAGCTGCCTCATCTCAGTGCCACTGCCCTTCTTCCTGAAGATGGTGGGCAGCGCCATCGGGCTGGCACACACGTTCCAAGTACTCAGTGCCTTAATGCTGATCCAGATCTTCTTGTCCATGACCTACCGGCCCATCCTGCCGCCCTCCTGCGACCCTCAGCACGACGGGCGSGACAAGCTGGGCAGCCGCAGCGTGAGGCAGCAGTGCTGGGCCCAGACCCGCAAGTATTTCAACCTGAGGGTTTTCCGGAGAAAGACCTATCGGATTTGGGCCTTTGGGATCGCCACTGCTGTGCTGGGATACCTCGTACCTTACATGAACCTGGTGAGGGCYGTGGCTGGGGCTGGAAGGGGAGGGTGGTGAGGAGGAGGGAAGGTGGTGGGAAGGKGGTGATGGGCAGCAGGGGCAGAGGCACCAAAAGCCTCAAAGCCAAGAAACTGCTGCACATCCTATAAATATGAATAGTGACAGGAGGATACAGTTTTTAATGCCTCTGTGTGTCCAGGGTCACTTCCCACTGCTCCCAAGGACAAGCACCAGCAGCAGGAGAGGGGCCTGTTTGGTTTGGGGTGGGCAGAGGGAGCAGGTCAGTGTGGTGTGGACATGAGGGTCACCCACCCACCCCAAATCCATGAGCCCTGTGCAGGAAGTCTCATCCCTTTTGGGGAGATGAGAGGGATCAGCTTACTGTGGCTTCACATYCTTGTGTCCTTCCCTCCACCCCAGGTCAAATACGTGGAGAAGCGATTTCAGGAAACCAAAAAGGACTGGATCCTCCTGGTTTGCCTCGGGGCCATGTCGGGGCTGGGCCGCTTGGTTTCGGGCCGCATTGGTGACTGCATTCCTGGGCTGAAGAAGATTTACCTGCAGGTACGGCCTGTGCAACATGGCCAGCACAGCAGGGGTGGCATCTCTGCATTGGTGTCCCCACTCTGMTTAATAACTGTCAATCACAAAGCTTTTACTGTCAATCCCTAAACCTTTACTGTCAATCACAAAACCAAGCACTGTCTGCTGTGAGGGAAGAGAATTTACTACAGAAATGTGGAAGAAAAGTTACGCGCTTGACCCGAGGGATTGGTGTCTGTTCAGCGATCAAACTCCACGGTAGCAACTCTTCCCAAACTACTGACACYCTTTCACCTCCTTGTGGTTTTTGAAGAACAAACTGCTGAAATCTAGCAGCTAATCCAGCARCTAATCCTTCTTAACCCTTCTTAAAAGGTTATTCTTAAGGGCCTCTCTGAGACAGGAGCAGCAGCTGGATGACATTGCTGGGTCTGTGGGGCGGGGGGAAGAGTGACATTGACCTGTTCAGTGCCATCTTCGGGGTTCTTCCCGCTGCCCATCTCCACTCTCACGGCCACTTTTGTCCCCCCAGGTTGCGTCCTTCATGCTCTTGGGCCTCCTGTGCATGATGATCCCCCAGTGCCAAGGCTTCGAGGGCGTCATTGTCATCTGCCTCTTCCTCGGCCTCTGCGACGGCTTCTTCACCACCATCATGGCCCCCATCGCCTTYGAGCTGGTGGGGCCCATGCAGGCGTCCCAGGCCATAGGGTACCTCATGGGGCTGATGGCCGTGCCCATGACCGCGGGCACGCCCATAGCAGGTTGGTACGGCCACGCTGCCCGGCGGCTGGCAGGGGGATGCTGGCAGAAACTCTCACCCACGGCCGTGTTCTGGTGTGAGAAAAGAAGTCCTGGTTTGAGTTTTTGGGCCACATGGGGGTTTAAGAGCAGGTGGGGCATCACTCCATGGTTTGTCCTGTGGCATCTCAGGGCCTCTCTCTCCAGGCAGATGAAAGTGACAGCTGGGGGTAACAGCGAGCCAAGGCCACATTAAGTGATTTCTGTTTGAGGCTGAGCTAAAAATTGGCAGATATTAATTCTTCAGAAGTCCTTTTGGGTGGAATTGAGGTTGGGCACGGAGACACCTGAGCCTCCACAAGCCCTGGGCCTGTGTTCCAGCCCAGCAGTGACCCCAACGTCCTCAACAGCGAGGGCTTTGCCAGAGCTGCCCCGAGCAGCAGGACCTCTGCATCAGCAGGGCTAAGCCAAAGCTGGATAAGCACCTCCGATCTCTCTGCTTCCGGCAGCAAAGTTCACTTGAACGCCCTGGGGAGGGAGCATGGGGGTCACTGACACTGGGGAAGGAATGTGGGGGTCACTGACWSTGRGGAARGAATATGGKGGTCACTGACTCTGGGGAAGGAATRTGGGGGTCACYRACWCTGAGCTGGGAGGGTGCTGCACCCCTTGAGAGGGGCTGGCTGAGTGAGGGGGCCCTTTGCTTCAGCCTCATCCCCCGGGAAATGCCCATCCAGGAGACACTCAGACTTTCCAGTGCTGATCAATGGCCGTGTGTTGTTCTCCGAGGATGCCTGGCTGTGTTGGGACTTGCCAGACAAACACAGAGCCTCGCTGGGTTTTAAGGGCTTGGCTATTGTTTGTAACTGGCAGCGCGTATTTCACAGCTGGAGATAAAACATCCACGAGGGCAGGGCGTCCCAGAGGAGACAATGGGCAGCCCCTGCCCGCTTTTCCCATTGCCTCTTGGCTGGCAAGGCTCTGGGAAGAGCCACCCGAGGTGCAGCAGGTCCCAGCTTGCATTTGGGATTGTCTGGGATGTGTCTGATTGTGTCCCGCTCTGGTGGAACAGGAGGGATGGCTGAGGCTTTCCTGCTCGACTCCCTTGGTACACAATGCTGGCTGCACACATCCCTTAATCCAGGCTGCAAAAACTCCAAGAAATGCAACGGAAAAAAAAAGATTATTTTACAAACCCAAATCTCCCCAAATCTGGTGGGTGACGCAAGCTGCCCCCGAAGGAGGAAACAAGCAGGTCATTAGCCTAACGAGCTCATTAGACTGAYGGGGCTCTAACCTCCACCTCTCTTCTCCCGCAGGATACCTCAACGATTATTTTGGGAATTACGACGCGGCCTTTTACTTTGCGGGCGTGCCGCCCATCATCGGYGGCCTGGTGCTCTCCGTGGTGCCGCTGGTCCACCAGAGGATGCTCAAGAAGCAGCGCCTGGATTCGGGCAAAGACAAGATGCTGGTGTCGGAGGCGGTGGTGAACGGGGAGCTGCTGCCGGGCTGCCCGGCCTCCGAGGCGCACATGTGACACCGGCAGCCYGTCCACGCCCCCGCACCGGATGGACCGTGATTCCCAGTGATCGCAGATGCACTATGTTTGTAAAGGAGAAAACACGAGGAGTTCTTCTAGTTAAAGGCTCTTAACTAGCGGAAACGATCTTTTTTGGGACAGTTTTGATTGCAAAGCCACCTTTTTTCTTTTGTTTTCTTTTTTTTTTTTTTTTTTTTTTTTTTTTTGGGTTTTTGTCCCCTCTAACCATTTTTCTAAGGAGAAAGAACTTTCACTAGGATTCAAACTTGATCGAGCTCCCTCTCCTCTCCCTGGTTTTCTATACGTCATGACAGAGGTTTACAGCAAATAAATGCCTTTTCCAAGCAGGCCACGGATGGAACTTGTTGAACCTTGCAGCTGTCCATCCTCCTCCTCCTCCGGTGTCACTCGGGTGTCACATCCCAGTGAGACAGYCCCCTCCCCGTCCAGCACCTGGGGCTGTTTTGGAGCCGGAGATCCGAAGGAGGAAACACTGCTTTAGTCTGATGCACAAACCAAATAAATGTCAGCAAGTCCCGCTTTCATCTTCTTCTTTCCTCCTTTCCCGCTGCTCTCCCGCACCCCCAGGGAGCTGCAGCTGGGATGACGGGGAGCTCAGCTGGCTCTGGCCGTCAGAGTCATGCGGGAGCACACCCTTCCTGCAAAATATGCCTTAAAAATCCGTGGATGAGACCAGCAGTGACCCTCGGCCACTTTCCACTCCGTGTTCTCACCCAGCCATTAACAATTGGGCTTTTGAGCTGCGGAAGAGAGGGGCAGCTCCTGGCACAGCCCASGGTGCCCGGCTCTCTGGGGTCAAATCCATGGGATCRCCACCAAAATGGGCACTTTGGTGGCTTTGGGGCACACGGGGTTGGGACAGAGCCCCTGTGTCATGGATCAGCTCTGTGCTGGGAGGCTTCCCTGCTGGGCACGGGGGCACCCACGGGTGTGGGGTGCTGCTGGCTGGGGTACGGGTGCCACTGCTCTTTTTGGGGGCCAGGTGTGTATCATGCAGCAATAAGCACGAGYCAGCATTGGTGGGGAATCCCGTTTTCCAGAGGCTTTGACAGCCCCTGTAGCATTTAACCCCRTAGCCTGTGTGTTTTCATTGAGCTGGTGCAGGGCCAGCACTGATCCAGGGGGAAGGGAGGGAGCACAAGGAAATCCCACAGCCAGTGGGCACCACCACACTGAGGGGCAGCAGAGCTCAGCCCTGGGCAGAAATGCATCACTGCCCATAGAGAATTGCAGAAATTCAAATTGCCCAGAGGAGCTGTGGCTGCCCCTGGATCCCTGGAAATGTTCTAGGCCAAGGGGGATGGAGCTTGGAGCACCCTGGGATAGAGGCAGGTGGGACACTTAGCAAGGGGTTGGAATGGGTTGAGCTTTAAGGTCCATTCCAAYCCAAATCATTCCATGATTCTGTGATCATCCCCAGGCATTCCTAACGAGCATGGCTAATTAGCAAGAAGGGAAGATTCCCTGCCTTGGTGGGTCCTTGTGTGAACAAGGTGCCAGCTGGGCCTGGGGTTCCTTTTCTGGGGAGAGAGCAAGAACCAAACTCACATTTATCTTGACTGCAAACCCACCCTTCATTAGACTTTCACTTTGCTCACTTGYCATTAATAACCCGAGCTGTCTGAAAGGGATTTATGCCATGGGAGCCATCCCTTGGGGCAAGTGTGGGGGTTTGGAACACCAGACTTGTCTTTGCTGTGGGAATTTGGGTTCAGTTGAGGCCCTCTCCCACAGCCAGTGGTGGGACTTTTGTACATAATAGGCTCAGGACCCTGCATGTCCCTCTGGCCCTGTTTTTAGCCCCTGTTGCCTGATCCATTGTAAGGTCTTGTGTTCTTGTGGCCCCTCTGTCCCTGTMCGAGCTGGAAAATTGCCTGGTGTGTTGTGACGTGTCTGTTTATGATATAAAATGAGATGTCTGCTTGTCTCTTCCTTGGATGCGCTTTCCCGTGACTGTTCCTACCCTTCCTGGCCTGAATTGCATCCTCTGCAGGAGGAGGCAGGGCTTGAACCACGGAACCCCGGCTCCAGCTGGGATCTGCCAGACTTAGCCCAGGGCAGGGCATTAATGGGATGGTTTTGGGTGGGAGCCTTGGCAGTGGGGCAGCTCCAAAGCCCTCTGGTAGCTGAGGGAAATCAGTAACTCCTCACTGTAACTTCTGCGAGTTTTGGGGCATTAATCCACACCAGAGTTGGATGAAGTTCATGAAATCATATTCTGGACCTTAATGGTCCCCAAAGGGGAGCTTAGGAGGGATTTAAATTCCAGAAGTATCTWCTTCAGAGCCAGCAGGGGATGAGCAGAGCTGTCTCCAAACCCYGTGTGGGCTGAGGGAGCGGCTGCAGGGCAGAGCCCACTGATGACTGCACCCAGACTTTGTGTGGCAAAGCCTCCCTGGCTCACGAGGTGATTTATGGTTCAAATCCCACATTTCTACAGAATTCCACTTGCCTTGAGTGCTCCATGTGCCTGCAGAGGTTCTTGCCCTGGGAGGAGCCTGCACTCAGAGCAAAGGGGCACTTTGCTCTGCAGAGGCTCTGCAGCTGTGCCAGCCTGGAGCTCTCCCCTAAATTCAGGTCTTTCCCCATGGCTTTTATTATCGACACTCTCGGAGATTTGTAGTGATGAGGTGCTTTCTTGACCACCCCAGCTGGGTCAGAGGAAGCCACCCCTCATCCTACCCCAGACCCATGGCTGGCACCAGCCCTCCCTAAATCACGTTCAGATCTTTGGTCGAAATYCCGCCCTTGGTGGACACAAGGGCGAATTCTGCAGCGGGGCAGGCGAGTTTGGACGGCAGCAATTCAAGGGCTCCTCATCAGCAAACACAGATGGGAATGGGAAGGGCAAAGGTTGGAGCAGTGTCAACACRCAGGGACTCTTTGGGGTTTGTTTGTCAGGCTGCTGCCGCTGCTGTGGGTCTGCTCTGGCCCCTTTGAATATCAGGCATTTTGAGAGAATCTCTGCAGCCTGGTGGCCTGGGAGAGGTGGGGCTGTGTGATCGGAGACTGCGAGCAGGGAGGAATCGCTCTGCTCTCCAAAACATCCCTTTAGCTGCGGTGGTCTGGGTGTGTGATGCCAAATGGGTCCCTGCCTGTTACAAAAAGCTCCATCCCAAAGCCCCTCCTGCTCCAGCAGGATCACCCTGTCCTGGCCCAGCACAGCCCATCCTCCTCGGGGCTGCTTTGGCTCCGTTTGCTGATTAAATCCCAACCTTCTCCCTCTGCTGTGAGCGCCGGGCTGTGATTCCTGCCCTGGGAAGGGAAGGGGGAGCCCAGCGCTCCAGACTCGGCCAGTTTGGGGGTCTGCAGGGCCAGGGGAGTGGGCTGAGCCCCTGGGGTGGGACAGGGGCAGACGGGAGYGGGGAGGGCCCCACTTCACCCCATGGCCGGGTGTTTGCAGAGCTGCAGAGCTTYATGTAAGTGAGCAGTGAGCCCAGGACAAGTCCCAGCAGCGCCTGCTCGGGGCTGGGCTGGGGCTGCCTCTTAAATCTTTACCTTGAGGGTGTTCAAAACCAACTTGTTGTYTTTTCTTYTTTTTTTTTTCTTTTTTTTTTTTTTTTATTTTAATTCTGCTGCAGAGTGAGGCATTGGGTTTAACTCCTCTTACTCTGGCTGTGGGATGGAGTGGGACAGCAGCTGGAAGGGCTCCAGGAATGGTTTTATTGGTGATGGGAAGGGGAGCAGGGCTTTGGGAGCTGCCTGGGAAGTGCCATGATTCATGACTTAGAGCTTTTTTCAGTTTTGAAACAATATGCAGGAGCTGCTTCACTGCAGCTTGCCCTGCCCTGAGGTCCTGCAGCCAGGCAAACACAAGTTTTGAAGTCGCAGAGCTGGAGTTTAGCAAATTCTGGCCTCTCTTTGGCTGGGGTTGAGGTTTCCTAACATTTCCCTGCTGTGGGAGCTGTGGGAAGGCCACATCCTCRTAGCTAGCCAAGCCTGAGGGCTGCTGCAGCTCTGCTGTGGTACCAGAGGCATTTGGGGATCCCAATTTTGGGAGGTTTTGGCTCTGCCTCCCTCCMTGGTGRTGCTTTGGGGCTGCCCCTCMAGGAGCTACATCCCCCCATGGGCTSAGCCAGGAGGGAGGTGGCCAGCAGCTGGRCAAGGACATTGCTGCCCTTCCCTGGAATGCTCTGTGTGACAGCCAAGGGTCTCTTTGGTACGTGGGTGCCACGAGCAGCTTGCTCTGGGCAGCCTGATTTGGTGCTGAGGGTCTCACCTGCCCTGGGCCTRGCCCCTGGTTGACACCTGCACCTTTTGTGGCCATGTGATCCTGCCCTGAGGGTGAACTTGGACCAAATCCTCTGGGTGCAAGGGCACAGATCCAGCTGAGACCTTTCCTGTCCCTCCATCCTTCACTGTAAACCATCCCCAGCTTTTGTGTGCTCCTGCACCCCAGAGTTTGGTTTGGGGGTCACCATGGTTATTTAACTTCAATTATTTCCATGCTGGCAGAGTTTGCTGCTCCCTTTCCAGCTGGAAGCAGAAAATTGGAATGACTTTGAAAGCCCAGAGCAGCTCCCTCCACTTTTATGCCACCAAACGTGAACTTCTTCTGTCACTTGAGCAGCTTGTTTGGACGCTCACAAGCCACCCCTGTAACCTTTGGGGGACAACAGTGTGGTTGAAAAGTGCTCCTTAATTACTCCTCTGAGTGCTCTGGGTAATGCCAGGCAYGGAACTGGCACAGAGAGGAGCTCCACGGGCAGCTAACAAACCCAAATCAAGCTGTTTCTCTTTTTTTTTTTTTTTTTTGAAACCCCTTGGCAGCAAAGCAAGCACAGGAGCTCTGAGAGGGCTTTGGAGCCCTGGGGGTGTCTGCAGGGGTGACCCTGTGCCTTTATCTGCCTGGCACGGTCACTCGATGGACTTCAGCCCCGGGGACAGGGAGCTTATCGCCGGGYTCTGTGGGACCACCTGCACAGCCCCTGTTCGGGGGGGCTTTGTAGTTTTATTTTTGCAAATATTTTGCCGTGCCCTCGGTGCTCCCCTCAAGGCCAGGCACCGCGATGTCCCCGTGTCCCCTCTCCCCACGCAGCGCGGTGGCGAAACCCYGCAGGTGCAGGGCTGGGATCCGCCTGCCTGCCCGGCCGGCAGGAAAGCCTCAAACCCCCTCCTGTTTGCTGAAAACATGGCTTTGAAGGACGCTTTGCACTTGCAGGGTTTCTCCTTTTTTTGTGCCCCACTCCCCCAGGCTCATCCCACACCTGCCCCCGCCCGGCCTGGCGAGCGCAGCCCTTCCCGTAGCGTTAGAGACAAGATTTAGGATCGGCTTTACTGAGGAATTCAGCTCTTTTTTGGTCCTTTTTGTACTTTTGTAACCGTGGTGTGTAAGACGAGTTGTTTACTGGAGTAGTTTCTGCACTGAGGTGATGCCCCCCTGCTTGTGGGCGATGGCCAAATTGCCTGAACCCCGTTGGGATTCRGTTCAATCCCATCTTTTCGGGAAAGAACTCGACTTCCCCAGGCCTGAACTTTCCCAGCAGATCCTGTTTCAGCCACCTGAACCCGTTAGAGCCGGAGGCAGGATTTTTCTGGGGAGGCTGATGGCAATTAGGAAATTACCCCGCTCCCCCTCCCCTGCCCTGAAATCCAGCAGGATGAAGCCAAATATTTGCTTTCGGATGGGTGGATTTTGGAGCTGGCTCCACATGAGAGCACCGGGGCGGAGGCTTGAGTTTGGGCCGTTTTGGGTAATTGTTTTTGAAGCAGGACCTCCGAGCTTGCTGCCATCACCCTGCTCAGCAGATTGCAGCTCCGTGCCCTGTCACAGCTGGCATTTGCTCTGCTGTGGATAGAAAACAGCCTGCCCAAAGGGTTTTTGGGGTGGGATGCACTCTCTCCGTGTCTGGTCCCACTAGAAARACTCAATAAAAGGCTGCACCACTGTCAGTAGCTTTGCAATCCCATTTTTCCCTGCTGTGCTCCAGGCTCTGGCACAGCAGGAACCGTGTGTGGCTCTGAGATGGATCCTGGGAGGTGCCCAGGCCGGCTGGGCACCCTGGGCAGACCAGCAGTCCAAAAGCAGCTGCTCAATTCAATGCTGAAATCAGATCCTGAAACCTAAAATTATTCATTTTTTTTACATCTGCTCCTTGTAAGTGATTTATAACCTCTCAAAATTTTGTATCTCAAAGTGAATGTGTCTCTTAAAAGTATGCCTGTCCTTTCAAAAATGTGAATTTCTGATTGTTGGAATAAAAAAAAAAGAAAGAAAAAGAAAGAAACCTACCCCATATTAGCACATTTTTGTAATTAATGTTTTATGAATGTCGTTTTAAAAAATTGTGTAGAATAAACCAGTTTAAAAAGAAAAAAATTATCTGTGCCTTGTGTTTTGCCTTTGTGTGGTCATGGGCACTGGTTCTCAGCACCTTTCCCATACTCTCCAGATGGGCTGGAGAGGCAAGGGTTTATCCTGGGAATTATTTTTATCGAGTTTTAATTTTTTTAATTAATATTTTGAATTATTTGATTTTACTGATTTTTTTTTTTTCTTGAGCTTGATGAATCTTGAGGAATGGCTGTTGCAGGGTCCTGGTACCAATGGGGGAGAAGATGTTCCCATGCACCACTGAGGGGGGACAGCTGGAAGTGCCATCAGTGGGTGGATGGTCCTTGCCCCATCGAGGTATTTAGAAGTAAAAATTATTTTCAAATCCCCCCTGGGAGCCTTGGGTTGCCCAGAGGGTGTCAGCCTCGAGGCTGTGAGACACTGAAAACACAGCTTTTGAAAAGGTTTTATATTAATGATCTGTTTATGTGAGGTACTTTAATTGCCGTTAGATGAAAGCTGACACGTGCATTAATTTTACATAATTCAGGCTTTTTTTTTTATTTTTTAAATGTGCACCTCAACTTTTTAACAAGGGGGGGAAAAGTACGGCAAATAGGGGGGAAAAAAAAAAAAAAAAAAAAAAAAAAAAAAAAAAAAAAAAAAAAAAACCAGCAGGAGATAAGAGATGGTAAACAGAGATTCAAAGGGAGCAAGGCTGCAGCAGCGAGCTCCTCTGGAGGACTCCGTGCTGTGCACGCAGGGACCGAACAAAGAGAGGGAATTCCTTAGAGAGGGAAGTACAGCCTTTCACTTACAGACAGCAAAAAAATGGCAATTTTAGCTTGATACCAAAATGATCTTCTTGGGATGGYTGGAAAGTTGTGGGGGGAATTGGGAGGGTTCTGGGGTGTGGGGTAAAAGGGGTCTGTGCATCTATGGGGTCACCCTGAGAGGTGACAGAGGGGACCCCCTGTCCTGCTGCTGCAGCCCCCCCAGGAGCAGCAGCTCATCACAGTCCATCCCCACAAATTCCATATAAATATATATATATATATGCCCACACACATATATATAAATACGTATTGTCTCTCCAAAGGTGTGTTTGTGCACGGGCCCACTGGAAATCCCCTCTCAGCTTGGCTGAGCACAGGGCATGGAACACCAGCACCTCCTGCTCTGCCAGGCTGCTGGGTCTGGCCTTAATTCATGGACAAAATGGGGAAAAAGCATTTTGCATCAGAGCAAAACCCTGAGT